AAAACAATCCTATGTTACCAAATTATTATTACCAATTATTACCTATTATTGCCAAATAATTACCTCAGTTACTGATCCCTTCTAGAGGAATAACCAATTTCAAATCCTTTTCTCTGCTACTCCTTTTTACTCTTCCTTTCTAGCCTTCTTTCTTATTCTTCCATTAAGAATTATATGAGATCTATTTATATAATTATTGCAAAAATTTCATTTTATCATAAAGAATCCTAAGAAATACAAAATGGAGATTTGTATATACCTTTACCTTTTGTATGTAATAGTTCTGCAGTTTGAATTCAGGGCCTAGGCCCCGTTCATCCTTGAGATTTTTTTTCCTCAAGGCTACTGCTCGATCACTTGAGTCACAGCTCTACTTCTGGCTTTTATAGTGATTAACTGGCTTCAAATCTCAGATCTCAGCTTACTGAGTAGCTAGAATTATCAGAACCTTTAACTATTATTTATAAGACTAATGTCTGTGGAATACGCTTACCTATTAAACCTATCCACTCATCTATAGGTGTTAAAAGCATATCAAAACTTATTTTTTCTTACTCATGTAACTGTAACCCCTTTGTATAGTATTTTACAATAAAAATGTAAAAATAAATAAAAAATAAATTTAAAAACTATTTCTAAAGCATCTTTAAAAATTAGGCACATCTTCAAACATTAATCTATAAAGGAAAGTAATAATATAGAAAATTCTTCATTGTATTAATATTTACTATTAATGTCAGATTTTTTCTATTTATCAAGTAATCTTTGAATGAGGCAAACCATATTTTTGGAAATTACTTATTGTAAAACAAAAAAGAATAGTTACACATGTAATCCTAACACATGAGAGGAATTTTGAGTTCAAGTCCACCTTAGTCTATATAGGCAGACTATCTCAAAAACCAAAAAACAATAGTTGGTGTCAGTGGCTTGCGCCTGTAATCTCAGTTATGGAGGAGGCTGAAATCTGAGGATCACAGTTCAGAGCCACACAAATCGGACACTATTATCCCCAATTAATCAACAAAATGCCAGAAGTGGAGGTATGGCTCAAGTGGTTGAGTGCTAACCTTGATTGCAAAACCTAGAGAGCATGAGAGGCCTTATTCAAACCAGTAAGCGAGTACTGGCACAAAATATAAATAAGCATAAATGTGTATATGTATGTGTATAAAGGGTAGATGAGGGTGAATAAATATTATATATATTATATACATAAATTAAAAATCAGTCACATATGATTCATATAATTTTTAAAACATATAGTTTGTCCAAGATATTTGGAAAAAATAGAATTTGATTTCAATTTTTATATAAATGAGTTCTACTTCCTAATCTTTCACAATGCAATTCTTCACATGTCATTCAAGTGGAGAGAGTGAGAAAGAGAAATAGGGAGATTGCTTTAAAAAGAGTATTAGATAATAATTTGATGTTACGTTTCTTTGCAAGGACTTAAGGATTCCCAAGAAGTGTAAATTTGAAACATTTTTAATAAGTTGATTAGTGAAAGAAAGTTGATATTCAAAACATAAACTTTACCACATTTAATTGTGTATATTAAAAATATACGACTTAAAAAAAAGCCGAGCACTGGTGGATCATGCCTGTAATCCTAGCTACTCAGGAGGCTGAGACCTGAGGATCGTGGTTCAAAGCAAGCCCTGGCAGGAAAAGTCCGTGATACTCTTATCTCTAATAAACCACTCAGAAAACTGTAAGTGGCCCTGTGTCTCAAGTGGTAGAGTGCTTGCCTTGAGCTGAAGAGCTGAGGGACAGTGCTCAGGCCCAGAGTTCAAGCCCCACGATTGAGCAAAACAAATGAACAACAACAACAACAACAACAACAAATCTATCTATCTATGTATCTATCTTTATCTATCTATACACACACACACACACATATATATATAGTATGAAAAGCCCTAAGCTATAGGGGAAAAGAAATGTATTTAATGCAAAACTAGAAGTAATTAAAATTAGGAAGTAGGGTGCTGATGGCTCACACCTGTGATCCTAACTACTCAGGAGGCTGAGATCTGATGACGGTGGTTTGAAGCCAACTAAGGAAGTAAAGTCCATGAGACTTATTAATCTCCAATTAAGCATCAAAAGAATCAGGAATAGAGCTGTGGCTCAAGTAGTAGAGTGTTAGTCTTGAGCAAAAAGCTCAGGAACAGCACTCAGGCCCTGCATTCAAGCCCCAGGACTGGCATGTGTGTGTGTGTGTGTGTGTGTTTGTGTGTGTGTATGTGTGTGTGTGTGTGTGTGTGTACACATGCGCATGTGCACACATGTGCATACACACACACACAAATAAATAAATAAGGGTTGAGCTTAGTGACACAACCATATATTCAGAGTTACTTATGAAGAAGAAATCAGGATTGTGATTCAAGATCTCCAAGACAAAAAGTTGATGGGATTCTCATCTCAAATAATAAACTTTAATATGGTACTTTACATCTGTGATCCCAGCTATGCTGGAAATGGATGTCTGACACCAGCCCAAGGCAAACACACAAGAGCCTACCTAAAAATAACTGAAGCAAAATGGACTGGGGATTTGGTATAGCTCTTGCCTTGCAATGCAAGGCCTCAAATTCAAAATCTAGTAACCGTAAATATCAAACAAAGAAAGGAAAAAGGAAGCAAGTATTTTCCAAGCATATGGATTAGCAGAATGAATATTGTGAGAATCGAAATACTGCTGAAAACAGTCTACAGATTCAATGTGATGCTCATCAAAGTTCCAATGCCATCCTTTGCATAAGTAGAAAAATTAGTCTTAAAATTCATATGGAAACAAAAAGACCTTGAATAGTAAAAATAATCCTGAGCAGAAAGAGCTATACTGGAGGTAACACAACATCAGGCATCAATCATAGTACAGAGCCATAGGTTCGGTACTGGCACATTAAAACAAGACACAAAGACCAATGGAATGGGAGACCCACAATAAAACCACACAAAAATAAAGCCAAGAGTCATTTATTTTGTGAGAGGATCCAGAAGACAGGTAAACTCTTCAACAGATATTACTCAGTAAGCTGGCCATCAACATACAAGAGAGTAAAACTAGAACCCTATCTCCCAGTCTGTAAAAAATTCACTCCTAGTGGATCAAAATCTTAATGTAAGATCTGAAACTTGGAAACTGCTACAGGAAAGCAGGGAAAGGTCCAGTCAATATAGGCAGAGGTAATTACTTTCTGAAGAGGGCTGCAACTACTCAGAAAGTAAGAGCAAGTTGACAAATGGGATTACATCTAGTTAAAACATTTGTGCACAGCAAAAGAAATAACTATCAGACCCAAGAGAAAACTGACAGAAAGGAAGAAAATCTTTCCCAGTGATTCAATGAATAAAGGATTTACTTCCAGAAATTAATCTTTCAATTAATTACAGATCAAATAATTGAATTAATAAGTGGGCAAGCAAAGTGAATAGACAGTTCCCAGAAGAAATACAAATGACTAATAGACACAAGAAGAAATATTCACATCTTTTGTCATATAAAAATGCAAATAAAAATTATACTGCCATCTTACCTCAGTCAGTATACAACCTAGATAGAAATCTGCATGTTTATTTTATTAAAACTGTTCACAATAGACAAACTATAGGATCAATAAAATGTTCAACATGGATGAATGGGTAAAAAGATACGGTAAATACATGCCATAGAATCTTTCTCAGCCACAAAGGAAAATGTATGGAATAAGATAAACAAATTAAGGCAAGCTCAGAAAGGCAGGCCTCATGTTTCTACTTCTTTGTGGAACTTAGACTAAATGATAAATATATACATACAAACATATGTGTGTAACAAAATTATATCTATTATATGTAATAGATATCTATTATATATATCACAATTTATAACTGTGAGACTCATTGAGGAAACAAGTTGGATTAGGAGAGGACAAGAGAATGATGGGGGGGAAATATTATTGCAACACATTGTATGTTGAAAGTTGAATAGTAGCAGGCAGAGAGGGGAAGAGGAAAGGGAGAGCAATAGATGGGATTAACCTGACTGTAAAACATTGTGTTGAAACACTTTTGAACCATTAATACACACAAAGTGAGGAAGAAGGAAAGAAAGGAAGAATGAAAGGAAGAATGGAAGGAAGGAAGAAAGGAAGGAAGGAAGGAAGGAAGGAAGGAGGGAAGGGGAAAAGGAAGAAAGAAAAGGAAGGAAGGGAAGAAGGAAGGGAAGGAGGGAGAAGAGGAGAGAGAGAGAGAGAGAGAGAGAGAGAGAGAGAGAGAGAGAGAGAAGCTGGTTGATAGGAAAGTAACAAAGGCTCTAATGGGAGCAGGTACCAGGAAGAGAAGATAGATGAGGATGAATATAGTTAAAGTACTCCCTATATATGTGTGGAAATGGAATAATGAAATTGTTGGAATTTTTTAAGATGAAGGATTAGTAGGGGGAGGTGTGATGGGAGACATGACTTTTATAGGAGTACATTATCGACATGCATGGAAATGTCACATTGCTGTGACATTTTGCAACTAATGTATACTCTTGTGTAATTAATATGTATCAATAAAAAAATCTTTTAAAATGGAAAATGATCATTTTTTAGATGCACATTTACTCCTGGTCTCTCTTGCTGAATCTCGAATCTTGGTTGTGCCTTCCTTCCCAGGTGTGGTAATCCTACACTGGGCTGTTGTGCCCAACACTTTGGAATGCAAACTTCCTTGAGCCAGCACTTGCTTAGCATAAGTTCACCAGTGGTCTGTCCGTCTAAGGTAGTCAGCGAATATTAAAGTAGTCCTAACAATAAAATTGCACGCAGTCAACCGTACAACCTTCTTCTGAGGGGGAGGAGAATGGCTCACTTTCCCTGGAGGGCCTGGGAAAGAACAGCTTACAACCTGTGTCACGGGGTAGGACCCTTCCTCCTTCTTAGCACTGGTACAGCCTCTGGTGACCATCATTTCCCAGTAGTCCATAGACTGGACAGAAAAATGTTTCGATGTCTCCTTCTTTCCCCCACTCAGCATATACTGAGTCCTTTTCCTGACCTGGCTTCTGATTGGAGACTGGTTGCTTTGGATAGTGACCTCCAGGACCCCTGTAAAGGGGTTATTGCCTGTTTGGGTTATGTTTACCACAACTTAAGACGTCTGCAGTGGTGTGTGAGAAAGAGGAAAAGAGTTGTGTTTCCTCAGTTCCAGGTACCCAAAGCGGAAGGCCAATAGCATTCCATCTATCTGAGTGAAAGCAGAGCTGGCATCGGCCCATGTGTCCTTTTTGGAAAGACTGCTCACCATGATGAGGGATCTTCTTCAGTATGTTGCCTGCTTCTTTGCCTTTTTCTCCACTGGGTTTCTGATTGTGGCCACCTGGACAGATTGTTGGATGGTGAATGCTGATGATTCCCTGGAGGTAAGAAGTCAGCAACTTCTTCCTTTGACCCAGTTTATATTTTCTCTCAGCTTCACTGCCAGATAGAGTTTGGTACATTTCCTAGGATTGACTATCATGAAGTCAGCCAACATCAACAGACCTGACTACTTACTTCCTGAATCTTGACATTATTCAGTTTAGTCATACTTCACCCTAAACTATAAAGTAGTAGTTATTATTGTCCTATTTCACAGATGAAGTGGTAAGATAATCCTTCTCTTATTTATAAAGATAAATGCACAGGAGTAATTGTGTAATTTCTGGCACCAAGGCCTCCAGAAATTTACCTCTTCCATGACTGTATTGGCCAAAACAATGTTGCGGTAACAGCCTTTTCTTCAAATCTGTAAATTGGATACCAGTGGAGGATTGTGATAAACTTTCTAAGTCGAAAACATTGAGGAAGTAAACTCAAGGCATGTAACCCTAACTAGTTAGTATGCAGTAGAAAAATGTGATTTTAATGAATTTCCAAGAAAAAGGAAATCTCCCAAGGGAGAATTAGTCTTTCCCCTGAATCTTAATGTGTAGATGACATCCTATCTTCAAAATGAATTACTCTTGGGAACAGAGAGTTACGTAAGAAATGAGTGTGTGGGTTCACATTTGAGGATTTTGTTTTTCTCACTGAGGAATTCAAAGTGAAATAAAGTAAACATAAAGTTCAAAAGCATTTTCTGCTACTGTTCATTATGAACAGTAAGGTTTAGGAAAGTATAGGTAAGGAAAAGCAACAAGAATACTCTAAGAGAGAGATATTAGCAACACTAGTTAGGCATCCATGGACAACCTGAAAGGAATAATAATCACCTTCAGGAGGTTTAGAAAACTACTAGAAAGCAAGTATATATGTATGTGTGTGTGTGTGTGTGTGTGTGTGTGTGTATATATATATATATATATATATATATATATGGGGTGTATATGTATATCCTATTTATCAGAGAAATGGAAAGTAATTACCTTTCTATTTTGTTGTGACATTCTCCTGGTTGTTTATTTTATCTTGCTTTTAATTAATTTCTGATTCCTACATGGCATTTCAAAGTCAGTGGACTTATAAATACTTTCTTACTCCTTGAAAATCATATATCTAAAAGCTGTGATAAAAATCGAACTCTTGCAGGATGTCTGCATTAAAGGGAGTCTAGTGATGTATTTTACTTGGCCATAAACATGAACAATAAATGAAAACTAAGATGAATGAGCTCAGGGAAAAGAACAGATAAAACATTATATTGTCATTATTTTGTCATTATCCAGATTGTCAGTTAATGGTATCTATAAAGAAATAGGTTGGACTTGAGCATACTTAAAATTATGTTTAAAAAAATATCCTAAGAGTTACTCAAGAAACTGAGGTCTGAGGATTGTAGTTCGAAGCAATGGCACAGGAAAGTCTGTCTGCATATTAACCACCAAATATGCTGAAAGTGGAGTTCCAGCCTTGAGCAAAAACTCAGAGACAGCTCCCAGACCCTGAGTTCAAGTCTCAGGACAGGTACAAGAAAACAAAAAATATCTTAAGATATGTAACAATCCCATCTAAAACTAGTTAAAATTATTTTCTGAAGTGATTTGAAAGTCTTTTTACTTAACAGAATGGCCAACCTTGTTTAAGAAGTATTTTCAAAATGGGTGTTTTGGCTCACATTTATTATTTTAGCTCACCTATAATCTTAGCCTGAGATCTGAAGGTCAGTCCACTTGGGAAGACAAATCCATGAGACTTATTTCAAGTTAAGCAGCAAAATGTCAGAACTGGAGATAGGGTTCAAGTAGTAGAGCACCCCTCAGGAGCAAAAACAGTGCAACTCCGAGACTCATAGTTAAAGTCATAGGAATAGCATTACTTACTTACTTACTTAATACTTTTAGGAAAGATCAGACTTCTTGAGAGAGAAACTTGGAATCCTGCATTTAAAACATTTTTCATTTTAGTACCATTTGTTATCTGCTGCCATGAGAAGATGGTAAGATGAAATGAATGGAATAAGCAGTCCAGGTTATTTGCTTCAAGTTAACCGTCAAAAAGCGGGGCAAGAGTTACTGAATATTCCTTACTTTATTTACTTCAACTGAATGAAATAAATTACCCAGTAAGCCTTCGTGCTACACAAACCCTGTTTCAAGTGAGTTTGCATTCTCTTTCAACTATCCCTACTTGTTAGTATTTTTATTCTCATGACAATTGTTCCTTTAATTGGTCAGAACTAAATTTAGAGATTCTGCTACCCACTGACTCAATTACACTAGGCTTTCTCTTCTATATCACATTGATCATTGGTACAAAATAACAGCTCACTTTAAACATGGTTGGACAAAATTCAACCTAACAAAAGTCTTTTTCTAAATTTGTAGCTTTTTATTGTCATTGTAAAGGTGATATACAGAGGGATTACAGTGATATAAGTCACATAAAGAGTAAATTTCTTTTTGATAAAATGTGACCCCTTCCCTGACCCTCTCCCAGGTTTTCCCTGCTGTTCCTACCCAAAAGTTGTATAGTTCATTTTCAACATATCATCTAGGGAGTATCACCGCTGCATTTGTTCACCTTTGTCCTACCATTTCTGTTCTCCTCCTTAACCTCCCAAAGACAGATATACAAACAAACAAGGTAAACGGTAAAGAAAATAAAAAGCACACCAAAGGGAAAAAACCTCTTGTTTCCATTCCCTGGAGTTTATTTCAATAAACATTATTATATATGTATATATCAGTGTGCATATATATATATATATATATATATATATAGTAGGATATTTGCTGTAAAGGGAGTCCAGTGAGGTATTTTACCAGGCCATAAACATGAATGATAAATGAAAAATAATATGAAAGAGCTCAGGAATCAGATGATCAGATACACATAGGTATTGCACCTTTGTGTTCTTCTCCTAAGGGTACGGTCCTTGGTTCTCATTGTGTGTGAATGCCTGGAGACATGTATAATTTACCATGTACCAGTATATTATTATTACTACTATTACTGCTACTACTACTGCTACTCCTCCTCATCCTACTTTTTATCATCCAGTTTGTTTACTTGTAGAGTTATAGGTACATTCTAGCTATCTCAAATGAGGGAAACAATGCAATCTATGTTTCTTTAAGTCTGGCTTACTTTGCTTAATATAATATTTGCAAATACACTCATAAAAATTTTAAAAAGTAAAAAAGATACTGTGAACCTGGCGCAGGTGGCTCACGCCTGTAATCCTAGCTACTCAGGAGGCTGAGATCTGAGGACTGTGGTTCAAAGACAGCCCAGGCAGGAAAGTCTGAGAAACTCTTTTCTCCAATAAAAATCACCAGAAAACCAGAAGTGGTGCTGTGGTTTAAGTGGTAGAGAGCTCGCCTTGAGCTGAAGAGGGACAGCACCCAGGCCTAGAATTCAAAGCCCCACGACCAACAAAAACATACAAATTTAAATAAAAGATACTGTGGGTTCATAGTTTTGCTGTTATTTTAAATGAGAAAAGCAGGAGAACTAGGAAATGCATTTTGTGATTCCATTTGACTTTGTCAGTACCTGAAAGGCACAATGGTAATCCTCCTAGACGAAACAAAGGTGGAGAGTCCTGTCCTCCAAGAGTAGACATGAGGTGAGAAAATCATGATTATGGATAGAACTACAATAAAAATTATAGGCCAGTTCATATTTCAAGAAAGAAATGCCAAAGTACCATTGGTACGGAAATCAGCAAGCTAGGGTTTCATCATCAAGCTATGGGACATTGACGTAGTCCACATGGAAGAAAAGGAATTTGAGAAAAGCCCCCATATAATGCCAAGGTTTAAAAAGTTGAAATGGTAACAGGAGCCTTCTAGATGTGAGAATAAATATAGATAGACTACAGAAAAGCCACAGCTTGATAGAATACTGAGAGAAATAGCACGACAAAGAGTGAACCAATTCAACACCGATACTCACTAGACACTATGCTGGAAATGAACTTTACAAGCTGGGGAGGAGGTTGGAGGGGAAAAGGTGGAGAAAATAAGGGAGGGAGTAACATAATTCAAAAAGAAATGTACTCATCACATAACTTGTGTAACTGTAACCCCTCTGTATATCACCTTTACAATAAAATTTAAATTAAAAAATGTGTATTAAGCTGAATAACACAAAGCAAGAAACTGACAGATCCCAAATATTCCTGGTTTTATCCAAGTGTATCTGCCATGAAATATGGAATTTTTGGTATTTATCTAAAAGATTGGGACAAAATTATCACACCCAAAATTGCACTGTGGCTAACTTTAGAGCAGAGTTCACAGACCCTATGCTATGATCCTACTCTTGTCCTTATTAAATCAGTTGTAAAAGATGTGTGCTTGTGGCATTGTAGATATGTCATCATAGCAAGAGTTTCTAATGCAGAGAGTTGGGTCTTTTTGGGATTTATGTATTATGTGAAATAGAGCTTATCCCTAGGCAAAAGTACTTCGCAACTATGTAAGCCATGCATTGTGGATTGCTCATGCTCATGGAAGTAGTAAAGGAGGTATGTGGAGATCAATTAAGTGACTTCTGCCACATACCAAGAAGAAACAGGTGGTGGTTTGAACTATGATAGGAAGCATGAGAAAATATATAAAGATATAAACCAGTCCTAAGAACTTAGATGGATGGGCATGGAAACGTTATGTGGGAAAGAAAATGATACAGAAAAGTGGACATTGAAATTCAACTTGGTATTTTGGGGGCAATTGGAGGGATCAGTATACCTGAAGACAATTAATGAAATCATCTGGATCAATGTCCCTGAATGATCCCACTATATCTGGTTTAGTTTAATATATCTAGAAGCAGAGACAGAATTCTTTAGTGGGAAAGTATATAGGTTAGACGGGATAACGGAGGAATTCTGCCTTCCCAGTGATTTAAGTAGGCTTTTGGTTTACTCTAAGCCACATTTCTTCTTCTGTAAAGGGAGAATAATAATGAACATGCCATTGTTTTTTCTGGAGGATTA